TTTATATACCCTTCTAAGAGTAGGTGTTCCTGAGGGGTGGCAATCCATTCTGGTTAACGCAATGGGAGGTGGGCTATATTAAAATGAGAGGCTGAGAGTGACATCATGTCACCTTTGGACACTCTCTATGCCCAGACCAGCCCCAGCCTAAGGCAATTTATTCAAAGAATTTATACCTCACCCAAGCCTGAGTAGAATGCAATAGCTATCCTACAAGGGTGGGGTCGTATTCCAATCTCATTATTAGCAATGTCCTTCCAGAGACTGAATTTTTTAAAATCAGGACTTTAGAAGTGGGCAGTGGACAGAGCACCGGCCCTGGAGTCAGGAGGACCTGAGTTCAAATCCAGCCTCAGACACATAACACTCACTAGCTGTGTGACCCTGGGCAAGTCACTTAACCTCAATAGAAGAAGGAGGAGGAGGAGGAGGAGGAGGAGGAAACAGGGAGGACTCTGGATCTCCCTAAATCATGGAGGAGACAACTTGCAAACAACCATGCACAAACACGATATATAGAGGACATAGTGGAAATAATCTCAGGTGGAAGACTCTAGAATTAAGGAGGCCAGAGAAAAGCTCCTTTCAGAAGATGGGATTCAGGGGCACCACTAACAGAAACAGAGATGTCCGAAGGAGGCTTAGGCCTAGGGGGAAAGTAATGCTGACATGTTGAACACAAAGCACCATTGAGACATCTGGGCACAGATGTCATGCAGACAGTTGGAGGTGAGACCTTTAGATTTGCTTATTAGGAAGTCACTAATGACCTCGGAGAGAGCAATTTCAGCAGAATGCTGGAAGGAGCAGCCAGATTGTAAGAGGGTGAGGAGACGGTGGGTGGAGAGTAAAGGGAGGCTTTGGGCACAGGCAACTTTTTCCATAAGTTTAGCAGTAAGGAGAGAGCTGAGAAAGTAAAAAGTCATGATAATGCTTTTGAAAAAAAAAATTAAGGAATAGGGAGACTTGAACAGGTAGGTTAAGGGGAAGGAGAGAGTGGAGAAGGAGATACTTGCCCTTGTCAATAGTCTAAGCCAGGGGTGGGGAACCTGTGGCCTTGAAGACACATGAGGTCCTCTAGGTCCTCAAGTACGGCCCTTTGACTGAATCCAAATTTCACAGAACAAATCCCCTTAATAAAAGAATTTGTTCTGTAAAACTTGGACTCAGTCAAAAGGCCACACCTGAGGACCTAGAAGGCCACACACACTAGAAGGCTGCAGGTTCCCCGCCCCTGGTAGGTCCACAGAACCTCATCCTTGCAGAGGCAATAAAAACCTCCTTTGCCAGGGTCCTTGCAAACTTCTTTGGTGAATCCCTGTTATTTCCTACCAGGAATAGGGCTGGCATCCACCATTTCACCTAGGCTAGGAGAACACTCACCCATGGCAACTTAACTGCTCAAGAAACCCAAAGCAAAAACATTGCTCCTTGGTCTAGAGAAAAGAAACACTCAAGTAAAGTCTGACATTATGCTTAATAAGGAATCTCTTCCCATAGCAGGTAGAATATAAGGAGTCCTAACCCAGCAGATCATTGGTGCCAAGTGAGGTCAGACTTGCAGCTGGTCCCAGTTTGACCTTGTGCCCTGAATCCAAGAACAAGGCTCTTGCACTCCTTCCCAGTGATCACATTCTTTTTTTCCTTTTTGTTTTTTTGTTTTTTTGTTTTTTGTTTTTTAGGCAATTGGGGTTAAGTGACTTGCCCAGGGTCACACAGCTAGTAAGTGTCAAGTGTTTGGTCTGAGGCTGGACAGTGATCACATTCTTGCCTTGCACCCTATCTAGCCTTGACCTTTGTATCTGATTCTTTGCCTCATATGACAGATTCTACAGGACTGGACTCTTGTCATTCTTTCCTACTCCTTCTAGAGACTAGATCCTTGCCCCAGAACTCCATTTCTGGCTTGGTCCATTTCCTACCATTGGACAGTGGGTCCATTTCCTACCACTGGACAGTGTTACTATTTAGGTGTCTGGATTTCTGCCTGATACCAGCCTTGCAAACCCCACCCTGTTTTGCAGGTCCTGGGACTATTTTTGCACTACCATGAATAGTAATGAGGGAGGCTTGGTATCGCTTCCTTTCAACCCATCGCATTATAAACAGATTTCCACTAACAGACTACAGATGACTATACTACAATGTCATATATTTTGATAGAATGTAGCTTTTTTTAAGTTAGAAATTTAACTATTTCACACAAAAAAATAAAAGAGAGAGAACAATGTAAGGATGGGGTGATTGAGTGAATCAATTCGTTCACTCCACCCTTACATCCTCTGCCCAGTTTTTATATAGACTACATTTAGCTTTAGCCCATCCACCCTCCATAAATATTAATTAGTTGATAGTTTGTGTTCAATTAACAAGCATGTATTCAGCACCTACTATGTGCCAGGCACTGGAACACAATACAGTGAATGAAACAATCCCTACACAGAAGGAAAAGCTGTTATCATCAATAAAAAAGAAACAATTGCATTTTCCACTCAGAAAGGTCATTCCATCTTTATTACAAAATTTATTTTATTATAATTTTTATTTTATTACAATTTGTATTATTTGATTACAAAATTAATCTTTTGAATATGTCATTGTAGTAGAATTTAGAAAAATGCTTAAACTAATTCACCAGCACTTGTCCATCAGATAAATACAATATAGGCAATTTTTAATTACTTATTCTAACAGAGGAGAACATTGAGACAGATATTCCGAAACAGTTATTAAATCAATGCCAACCCCTGGCACTTGGGCAATTTTACCACTTACTGCCACTATCACCAGTCCTAAACTAGGAAATATAAAGCTACTCCTATTATTAAAATAAACAATACTTTTATTCAATTCAATTCAGCAATTCAACAATGATTTGAGTATCTCCTCTGTGATTTCATCTAGGAAAAATATCATGGTAAGTTGACTGCCTATTGAAAATAATAGAGGATATAAGCATGACATAGACACACATAGTTTTTCATCTGCTACTTTCTATAGTGAAATTGAAATACTAAAGATGTCATAGACCAAAAGAAAAAAAGTCCCATCAATGAAAATTGACACCTATCCTTGATTACAGAGACTGAAATAAATTTTGCTTTTGACAAAATAATTAAAAATTGAGGTTATGTTCTACAGTTTCATAAATCTTTACTTCACACATCTACTAATATTTGTTGCTATTAGACATCTTAATACCAATTTTCAAAATGTAGGAAAGGTTACTCAAAATCTTCTTCACTGGCAAGTATTCTTAGACCTGTATCAAGACTTTAAAAATAATGTTCACACCACTGATCCAAGACATCATAAGAAAGAGATGTTGGGTTTAGAGTCAAAATCTTGGGTTTAAGTTGTTCTTTTCCCAGCTCTTAAATTTTCTAGTTAGGGGATTAAGGGCAAGGCATTTCTGAGGGAACAGGTTCCAGAAGGTCAGAGGCATAGCACTGAAAGGGACCTGGAGGTGGGGGGGGAGGGGAGGGTACCTAGTCTAACCACTTCATTAAATGAGGCCCAGGAGGTTGTGATTTGCCCAAGGTTACTCGGGTAGTAAGTAAAAGAGATAAGAGGGAGGAAGGGGACACAGGTTTCTTACCACAATAACGTCTAATTTCTTTAAGCTTCATTCTCTTCATCTGTAAAAACAACGCTTGTACTCACAGTGTTGTTATAAAGAGAACATTTGACAAATTGTAAAGAACTATATAACAATAATAAAAATAACAACTGGCAATTACATAGCCTTTGCAAAGCACTTTATATATGTTTTCTCATTTTATCTACACAACTCTGTGAGGTGGGGCTATTATTATCCCCATTTTACAGGTGAGGAAACTGAGTCTCAAAAGTTTTGGAGACCTGCCCAGAGTCACACAGCTAGTAAGTGTCCAAGGAAGTATTTAATAAACTTGAGGGGACCCCTACAGGACTCAGCCCTGATTGCAAATCCTGGCTCTGCCACTTTCTACATCTGTGACCTTGGACAAGTCACTTCACTTCTCTGAGCCTCAGTCCCCACCCCCACCCCCCACCCCCATAAAATGAGCAGTTGGCCTCTAATGTCCCTTGTGACTTTAGAGCTATGATATTTTGGTGGATCTCTGAAGTCACAGATGAGCGTGCACCTTCAACTGCCACAATCCATTCACTCCTTTTTATCTTGTGCAGTTTGTATTCCTTTCTCCCTATGAATCCTCCAAAGAGGATCTACCCAACATGCTCAATGCCTTTCCCTAGGTTGTCGAACATTCTGTGGGTGACGCTTGGGCCATCCATCTGTTACCCTTTCCCCCTCACCACAGAACCAGGCCTTTTCTAATCATCCATTTCCATGATGGTATCTTTTACACCTCTTCTTTCATGCAAATCGTTGTTGGTAATATGTTGAAGCCAACTTATACCTCCTTCGTGTATCTCTCTTGCTTTTTGGGTCACTTGTAAATTTGACTCTTCAGGGATTGGTATATTCCATAATGATATAGTACAACAAAAAGAATATTCTTGCTAAAAAGATGATCTTTGTGTGTATCACAGAGCAGCTTGAAATCATTAAAAGTATTACCAGGTCCTAAATGCAATCCAGATCATTCTCTCATTCAATTATGGGCCCAGCTTATTACTCATTTTGCAATACCAGGCCTAAACAAGTGTTCTAATTAACTCAATAGGCTGCTTTCTTACAACGAAGACATTAGTATTCATCCACTTGTTTTTTCCTATGTAGATTGTGAATGCTGAACTCTTAATTGACTATGGATTGCACTGAGGATGTTCTATCATATTTCGAGGCTTAATGCAGATTTCTCTGACATCATATACAAGAAAGAGCACCTGGAAGACTTCCCTGTCTACAAAGAATTCCTCTTCAATTTGTGTCCTGCCTACTACATTCATCATGATAGTACTGAAAATATTTAGTGAGCTTATACCTCACAGTTTATTTTTATTGCTATTATAATAACAGCTAACATTTACATAATGCTTTAAGGTTTGCAGAGCACTTTACATGTGTTATCTCACTGAATCCTCACAATAACCTTGTGAGGTGGATGCTCTTATTATCCTTATTTTACCACTGAGGAAGCAGAAGCCCAAAGGGGTCAAGTGATTTATCCAGCATCACATAGCCATGTAAGAATCTGAACCAGGATTCAAATTCAGGTCTTTCGCATTTCAATTTTCACACTCTCTGCCATCTTAAGTTTTGATTGAAGCCCATTGCTGGTGACCAATTACACGGTGCTATATGCAGTCTCATATTATCTACAGCTTTGCCCTGGAAGTGGAGATTTTCAAGGTGGTGATTAATTCCTTGACCAGCTGACCAGCCTGGAGAGCAGTGCCCCAGTGCACAGAGAAGCCACCAGAGCCATGGCCATAGTTGTGAACCACAGGGAGTCGATGTCCATCTCGTATTAATATCTCCTTCTGTAGTCTCACTCCTGGCCGTGATGGCCGCAAGCCCACCTTCTCTTTGATATCCCAGGCCCCATGAAGAGATGGCTCAAGAGCCCTACACTTGGCAAGAATGTCTCTACTATTCTGTGGATCAGGGGACAGGTTCCAGTCATCTTTTTGTCTTGTTCCACCTAATGTTACGTTGAAGGCTCCTGGGTAAATATAGGCCTGGCCATCCCCATCTCGGATAAAATGCTTTACCCAGGGTGCCTGAACTTTAAGTACTTGGCCTCTCACAGGGAAAAGCTGCAAATCACCTACTAACTCTCTGCTTCCAAGGCCCGAGCAATTGACAACAACATCATACGAGCCATGAAGCTCCCACAGATCTTCTACCTTTCTGATGTGGACCTGGCCTCCACGTCCTCTTATCCTAGGAAGAAGAATGATGACAACATAAGGCTTAGTAGATGCTAGCGCTCCCATATATCACACAGAACAAAACAAGAACATCCTTGAGAGCAGGAAGTTCTTTATTCTTTGTCTTTGAATCCCTAGCACCTGGCACAATGTTTGGCTCTTAATACATGTGCTGATTGCTTGATGAATAAACTAATAAGGCAGTAAGGTAAAGGGGGCAGATGTCACGAGGTGTTTCACAGAATCATAGCACCAAGAACTCAAGAATTTGAGGAGATATCAGCGCCATTCTAAACCCAACTAAAAAGAATTGTTGATCTAATATATGCAACAAGGAGTTGGCCAACTTCTGCTCAAAGACCTCAAAAGAGTGAGAACTCATCATCTCTTGAAGCAGCACTGTCATGCTTTGGGACAGTGCTAACTCACAGGAAACTCGTTTTTAATATCAAGCCTCAGTTGGCATCTTTGAAATTTCTACCCTTTGCTCCTGCCTTCTAGGCCCAAAAGAACAAGTCTAATTGTTCTTCAGACTCGAGCATAACATGTTTAAGCACAAAATTCTAGCAAGCATCCTGAAGTCGAGCAGAAATGACCATCCATTTAGATCAAAGATAAGGAAACGAAGCACCCTGAGACTTTTTATGCTTTATTCAGTTTCTGGGCTATTCTAGATGCTGAATAAATATACAACTAATTTAGTCCCCTGAATACAACATGTATTATATCACTTAATTAATAACATTTAATTACATATTGCTTTGTAATTTTTATACTGTTCTCTCATATTGTTTCTTTTCTTATGTTTCATTTGTAAATGCTTCGTCCTCTCAATTCAGTTATAACCTTCCTGAAGTCAGAGGAACCATGAGATTTCTTTTTTAAAATTTTATTTTATTCTGAACTTAATAAGACAAGCATTTCCATAACATAGTAGAGGAGAAAAAAAAGAGATGATTGCACATGAAACTGCAAATCTATTATGTACAACTTGTTATTCCTCTTAAATATATGACGTTATCATGCAACTTTCTTTTTTCCCTTTTTTCTTTCTTCCCTCCACCATAAAGATAGTTAAGAATTAGACAGAGACACAGACACAGACACACAGACACACACAGACACACACGTAAAATCATTCTATATATACTCCTATTTAGTTTTCTTTGGATACAGATAATATCTTCCTTCGTGGGTCCTTTGAAGTTAATTTGGGCATTTATAATAGTCAAAATAACTTAGTTGCTCAAAATTATGCTAGTTCCTTCGAATATATGTCTTAAATCCTTCAGAGTAGAAATCTACTTATTACATCACAAGCCTAATGTGACCACGCCTTATTTCTCTTTAAATTCACCATAGTGCCTGGCCTAGTGCTCTGTATAGAACAAAGTAAATATTTGCTGAATGAAGAAATTTAGGCTGGTAATGATTTGGGGAGAGAAGCAATTATCAAGGTAGAAGGCAAATGGTAACTTATTTGAACGATGTAGTTTCCCCAATCTTACACCATCTACAGCACTCAGGTTAATTTGCAGAACATATTGGTCTTACTGGAGCTAGGACAACCTAGCTCTTCCAGAAAAATGCTATACTTAAAAGTCCTTTCAGACCCACTAGATCCAAGTAAATGGTGTCCAAATCATGCTAGTTTGTTCAAATGTATGTCCTAAGTCCTTCAGAATAGAAACCTACTTACTGTATCACAAGCCTTATGTACCACTACATGTCTGGCCTTAAGAAATAAGGAAAGAATAAGCTTAAATATGAAAACAGGAATCACATAACCAAGCAGCTTATTAAATGCAGGCCAACTTTTTTAAATGTTTGTTCAATATGTATAAATCCAATTTTCTAACTGCTACTTCTTTGTTATGTTCACGTCCTGTCCCCAGATAGATAAGAAACCCCTTGTTCGTATGCCCCCAAAGCCATGGGAGACAGGGATCAAGCTTTGCACCTCTTTGCAGCCTTGGCAGGATCTCAGTTGTGTCTGCTGCTTATGATGTTTATGTTGGCAGCTAGGTGGCAGAGTGCGTAAAGTGCTGCACCAGGAATCAGGAAGACCTGAGGTCAAATTTGGCCTCAGAGACTTACTAGTTATGTGATTTTGGGCAAGTCACTTAACTTCTGTTTGCTTCAGTTTCCTTAACAGTAAAATGGGGATGATAACAGTATCTACCTTCCAAGATTGTTGCACAGATCAAATGAGATAATATTTGTAAAACACTAGGTACAGTGCCTAGTACATATGAGGTGCTATATAAATGCTATAGTAATAATAATGTGTATGTAATACATGTATATAAAATATAATGTAATAATAAGATGATGATGATGATGATGGGGGTGGTGGTGGTGGTGGTAGCGGCAATGGATCACGGCTCTATTTGGGAAATGAATAACTGAAGACTTTGTTTCTGCGGTCTGTACCATTGTCCTGTTCTTAGAAAAAGCCCTCACCAATGCAGTTTCCCACCTCCTCAGACCTGGAGGTCCTGCCACACCACATAGGGCCTTACCAGACACCACTGTGAGAATTATCTCCTTGGGGGAAAGAGAAACAGGAGAAATGCAACACTAACCTAAAATTAATCTCTTAACATGTATCTTTATGCTCTATTCAACAACTGTATCTTTGTAGGTCAAATAAACCTGTTCTTTTATAGCTCTTGCTTATGTCAATCAATCGTTTGTACTATCCTAATACCTGAGCTCAGGACCCCTTCTCAAACCTTTTAACAGATTTCATTTCCTCATATATAAAGTGTTTGGATTATTTCTAATGCCCTTCCCAGCTCTAAAATGCAATGATTCCACATTGTACTATACTTGGTAATAAATAGTAACTATTACTTTAGCCATCAACGAATATCCTCAATAGTAATTTTGTTCTAAGCAGTGACACAAATTTATTCCATGATCAGCTTTCAATATGAAATAGCATTAAAATGCCAGCATGACACCATATGTCTGATTACAGGAAATCCAGGAAAGACTTAGGCAGACACTATAAGCTTTGCATTCTTATAGGATGAAGAACATGCTGAGCTCTTTCAAATTGAAATATAAGTAGTAACCAACAAGGTTTAAAGCAATGACATTTTCAGAAGGAAAAACTATTACAAATCTGGATTACTTAACATTGTGAGACATGGTTTGAAGTTTGGGGACCTTGACAGAAAAGCAAAGTGGCTTTTGCTAAAGCCTTTAAATATGACACATTCCAAAACATAAAACAGAAGTGGGTGTTTGCAAAGGTAAGTGAGCTTTCATTTTTTTGGGGGGGGCACAGAAGAAAGAAAAAACTAGAGCTGGCTTACAGGTTGCTGTTGCTTCATATTCATTAAGAGAAATTAAAGGTAAAAAAAAGTCAAGCTTTTTTAAAGAGATTATTTTTAAATAATATTATTTAAATCAATACTTATAATACATGGGTCTATTATACACACACACACACACACACACACACACACACACACACACACACACACCACTCATACTAACTGAGGTTTGGAAAAGAACTTTCAAAATGGTATTTGGATTTCTGTTTGTCTTGAATGAGATCTATGCTTTTACTGGCATAGGAGATAATCTTGGTGAGGAACTTCCCCTACCTATGGTCAACAAGCATTTATTAAGTACTTACTATGTGCCAGTCACCGTGCTAAGTATTGGGAATACAAAGAAAGGCAAAAATTGCTCTTAAGGAGTTCATATTCTAATGGAAAAAAATATGTCCAAGAAAGTGTACCTATAAGATATATTCAGGATAAATGGAAAGTAGTTTCAGAGGGAAGGAAGGCATTGAACTGGGAGATAGTAGTCCCACCAATGCAGCAGGCAAGAAAAGGGAACAAAACAAAGTTTGAATGGAGGCAACCCAGACAAATGTGAGGTATCACCAATCTGGACAGTGGGAGCCCCAGGGTAAGAGTTACAGAGCTGAAAGAATGACATGTTCTCTCCTGTTTCTCCTTGTAGCTGTCTGATTGATCCTTCTCAGACTCCTTAGTTGGACTGTTATCCATGTCCCAGGGTACCATCCCGGGCCCTTTCCTCTTCAGCTCTGGATCTCTCTCCCTGGACATCATATAGTTATCTCAAACTCAGCAAGTCCCAAATGTAAGATTATTAGCTTTCTCTTCAAACCCATCCTTCTTCCCGACTTCCTTACTCCTGTTGAGGGCACCACTATTTTTCCAGTCACCTGGGTTCAAAACCACAGTCCTCTTTGACTACTCACTTGCCCAGGGAACTATAACCAAATCAATAGTACCATTGCTTGTAGAAAGGGTGAGTAGATCAATTCCTGCATCGTACAAATCATCATCCCTTTCACTTCCCAGGCCAACCCATTCCCCTTCCCTGGCCTTCACGCCTTTATATTTGCTGTTTCTCTCTCCTTCAGAAATCCAGCTTCTAGAGGGTAGAGATTGTCTTGCTTTTGTATTTGTAGCCCCAGGGCTCAGTTCCTTTAATCCCCCTTAGGAGGACTTAGTGTGGAATTCTATTGCCAGTGACAGGAAGCAATGATGCACACCTCATCACTTAAGGCCTGGTGCTCCATTCCTTTCCTCATCAGCAACTAGCATTCTGAGCCTTGTAACTAATTATAAGACAACATAGAAGTTTAAAAATCAGCTCCAACTCAGGAAGTGGTCAGGAAATAGTGGGCTACCAGGGGTGGGGAACGTGTGACGTCGAGGCCACACGCGGCCTTCTAGGTCCTTTGAGTGAGTCCAAGTTTTGCAGAGCAAATCTTTTTATTAAGGGGATTTGTTCTATGAAGCTTGGATTTAGTCAAAGGGCCACACCCAAGGTCACCTTAACTTGACTTAAGTCCTCAGTTTATACCTGCCACTCAAGGGTGTTGTGAAGATCCAATGAGACAGCGTATATGTGGGATACATGGATGTTGCTTCTGCATATCACTCAATCAGAGGTTAAAGTCAGAGAAATAGTTTTTATTATTATTATTTCCACAAAAAGCCAAGTGGAAACCTTAAAGAATGGAATCTGCAGGCTAGGTGGAAGTTGAACAAAAGAGAGTTATATTAGAATTATATTTATAGTTTTATACATACACATATATACATACACATCCATCCATCCATCCATCCATCCATCCATACATACATATTAGAATAAGAAAACACTTTTGGTGGTGAATAGACTGACTGGTTCTGAGGTTAACATAAAAATGGGTATTCCCAAGTAAGGGTCTGGCTGGCCTAATTGTGAGGAGTAGGAGATGTAATTAGGGATGGAAATTAGGCGCTTCAGATAGGCTGTAACCTCTGTAGTACCCATCGAATGGGGAAATGGGAAGGAAATTCGAATGGGGAATAGGGAATAAAACGGTGTGCATTTGTCGATACATGCACTCTCACATGTGTGCTCTCACACATGCGGGACTCCTGGCCTTCCCAGGTCATTAATAAAGCTTCTTCCTGATTCAACAATGGCTTCATGGAATTCATGATATTGACATAGATAACAATATATAAAGTTATTTGCAATATATATGCTATATAAATGTTAGTTATTGTAATTACTCACGCTGCCATTGATTGTTTTGGATGGAGTCTGTCACCCTGAAGTTATATGTCCAATGAAAAAAGACCAAGACTAGTGTCTCAAGAAGGAACACCACTTCATACTAATAACCCTGCAGTCATAATATGCAAATGAGATTTTTCTGCAAAGTACATGTCTACACAGGCCTGTGTAAGTTAAATAACATCTTCCAGAAAAAGTCACAAGTTTCTTTCCCAAGAGAGATGATGTTGCATAAGATCAAGATGTGGTACAGTACAATGATAATAATAACATTTCTATAGTGCTGCATGGCTCGTAAAGCCCTTTATTCAAACAACTCCAAGGGGTTGGCTGTGCAAATATTATCATCCCCATATTACAGATGGGAAAACTAAAGGTCATTTATCATTTGTAGGAAACAACCTGGAAGTGTGAGACTTGATGAAGGAAACTAGCAACTGGAAAGACACAGACTGGCTTGACGCCATCATACTTCGCCCAATCTCTGAACCACCATAGATTGAGAGACACTAGTTTCCTTGGAATAAAAAGTATGTGTTTTTGTAACAGTCACTACTGGAAGAACTGGGCTTGCTTACTAATCAATCAATCAGCCTACTAAATGCCAGGCACTGTGGAGATAACATACAAAGAATGAAACAATACCTACTCACAAAGAGTAGTTTTTGCTGCTGCTGCTGCTGCTGGTGTTCAGTCATGACTGAGTCTTTGTGACTCCATTTGGGGTTTTCTTAGCAGAGATACTGAAATGGTTTGCCATTTCCTTCTGCAGCTCATTTTACAGATGAGGAAACCAAGGCAAACAGAGTAAAGTGACTTGCCCAGGGTCACACACCTAATAAATGTCTGAGACCAGAAATGAATTCAGGTCTTCCTGGGTCCAGGCCCAGCCCTCTATCTACTGTAGCACCACCTAGCTGCCCTTCCTGGTATATAATAGTAACTTAAATGTTGCTTGATTAACAAGAGAGGCTATGGGATGTATAGTTCTGATTCACAGAGTCAAGAAGAACTAGGCTGAAAGCATGGGTTTGCCATTTATTATGTGTGACCCAGGGTAAGTTACCAAAGCTCTGTGGTCCTCAGTCTCCTCACCAGTAAAATGGGGGAGTTGGACTAGTGAACCTGTGGGCCTTGTGTGGCCCTCTAGGTCCTCAAGTATGGCCCTTTTATTAAGTCAAAGGGCTGCATTTGAGGACCTAGAGGGCCACATGTGGCCTCAAGGAGACAGGTTCCCCATCCCTGGACTAGAGAATTTCTGAAGTCTCCTCCAGCTCTGGTTCTATGATCCTATGGGCATCTCTGCAAGGTTTTTAAAGAGAGAAGGAATGCACATCTATACAGGATGGTTTAGGTATTCTGATAGAAAAAAGGGAAAGTCCAAATAATCTCCAAACTTGCCTTCCCACCATGATTCTTCAGGGAACTTCCTAAAAGGAGCAAGGAGAGGGCATGTAGAAATGCCATCTGGTCATGATCCTCAGGATATTACATAAATTATTAAAACAGTGACTTATCTTCTCCTTAGGAAAAATGAATATCTTTAGTTCTTTGTTAAACTCTAAAACCTTGATTTGTGGTAGAAAACAAATTTTCTAGAAGCTGATATTACTTTTAAGGGGGTGATGCTTACATGGCAACTATTGTCTGATAGCCTGTTGGGTAAAGTTAACATTTTTGACTTAGAATACTACAGACTGAAAGCTAACATTGTATGAAAGAAGGGTAGGAGGGAACCAGCTACTTACTGAGGCTTCGAAACAACCCACGATTGAGTTAGCCAAGCATCTGGGCCAGCTCTATGCATAGACGGAGTGGGTGGCTGCCTACATCTTAAGGGTACCTCGAGTCCCCTTCTGCCTGCACATGTCTCTCTCACCAACCAGTCAGGGCACATCCCTCCCTCTTACCTAGCATGAAACTCCTATTCTTTTGAGTAGGCTAGAAAGTTAAGGGCATGTTACACCTATATTATACCCTAGGAAAGAAGGAGGAAGAAAACCATCTTCCATTAATGTAGTAGCACAGTTTCTCAGATAGCCAGCTATCACTCGAAAGATGTCTTAAGGGTCCAAAGGAGTGGAACATAAGGTAAGTAAATTTCCTGGGGGGTGGAGGGGTGGAGAGGGAGACAGGTTGAGAAAGTTCTTCATGGGGTAGAAAGGGGAGCTCTACTCAGGAATGGTAAACCCCTAGGGGACCCATATTTGGGGGGTCCTGGGCAAAGAAAAATGAGGGCCCTTAACACCTGAAGTTATAAATAATAACTAATATTTAAGGTTTGCAAAGTACTTTTACACATATTATGTCATTTGAGCCTCATAAAAACCCTGCTGGCAAAATATGCCTATTTTGCAGATAAGAAAACTGAGGCTTAGGGAAGATCACAAAGCTAGTTAGTGACTGGACAGGATTTGAAATCAGGTCTTTGTGATTCCAAATCCAATAGCCTATCCACTACACCACCTAATTGCAGTGTTAAGTGCAGGCCACTGAAAACATGGAGAAGTTTTGCAAAAACAATAGCAAGAACAACAATAATAAAGAGGATAAATGTGAGAAATAATTCATTTGGACCCCTACTGTATTCTAATCAGTTTGATATAACACATAAATCATATAGGGATAGATAGGTTCTTATAGTAGAGCTCAAACTTTAATGTAATGTTTACTACTCATTTACCAAGTTATGAGGCTCACTTGTGTAACCACAAGAATGCTGACAAAGATATCTCCACCCAGTTTTATTCAAATTCCAATTCCAAACCTAGCATGGTGGGATGCCTTGATGCTTTGGAAAATCCCCCAATTTATTTTTGTACCTCCAGGCCATTCTCTCTTGTCCAACACGAGCAGGTGACCATCTTATGACCACTTAGTACAGGTGCTCCATGCTTCACCATGACACCCCTCCCCACCCCGCTAATATGTCATGTCTGGCCCTCAAGAGCAAGTCTATCAACCCATGAGATTCTGTATTTTGCCATGCCCTTTTTGCATATTTGGATATCAAACCCTATAAAAAGCGAAGTACTGGAAGAAGGGGGCATCTCAGATCAAGAGGAAGATATGAGGTTCACTTCTTTAGAGAGAACCACGGACCTTAAATAAAGTGCCATTGACTCAGAGCTCTGCCTCAGCCTCTTTTATTGTAGGTTGGGCAATTTTAACCCCCCCACACAGTAAAAAGAGCACTAGCTCTGGAGTCAGAGGACCCGGGTTCAAATCCAACTTCTGACATAATGCCCATGTGACCTAGGGCAAATCATTTAAATTCCCTGGGCCTCAGTTTCCTTATAAAACAAGAGGAGTAGGACTAACTGGTCTCTAACATCCCTTCTAGCTCTCGTCTTAGGACCCTACGATCTCTGAAGGTGCTCCAGAAATTCCCCAATTCTCTCATTGCAATCGCTGCAAATTCTTTTGCAGAAAAGAAAGTAGGAAAGAACCTTTGGGGTTACTCACCTTTTTTCCAGCCACGGCAGATAGGAGAGGGCTTCGCATTTCACAGTAGTAAAGGCTTGGCCAAACACATGCTGTGGAAATTTCTTCAATTCTGATTCAGTCATGTTCCGAAATCCCAGCACAGTGTCAGCCCAGAACGGCCTCTCTTGGTGGGGAACAGTTCTATATATCTGCCAGCTAAAAGCCATGGATTGAAGAGAGCTCGTCAGCTTTCATGGAACGCACACACTCAACATCATCAACAATAACAACAATGGCCTCTATTTCTATGGCTATTTAAGGCTGGCAAGGTGCTTTACGTATGTTATCATATGTTATCTCACTTGCCCCCATTTGATAAGCTTCTTGCTATTCATCTTGGCCTCTCTCACTACTGAGCACAGTGGTGCCTCGTATGAGCACACAACAGATATTTGTCAAGAGAGCAAACAAATGAGGTGTGACTATAAAGTCACGAGAGAGGATTTTTCAAGTGGAGTTTTTAAACTGGCTCTGAAGGTAATTGCAAAAGCAGAGTCTCCAAAACTATTTTGGATCAATACAACAGGTCAGAATCAGGATATAACCTTCCAAAGTACTACTAATAGTCAATTATAATCAATCAATAAACATTTATTAAACAACTATTAGGTCATATGCCAGGCACTATGGTTTGGTGCTGGGGATACACAGGCAAAAATGAAGTAATTCCTGTCTTAGGAACCTTACTTTGAAGAGGAAAGCAAATTCTGGTTTCTCAAAGGATCTCCTGGCTTTATATTTATATGTATATAATCTCTTTAACAAAGCATCCTGGGACAACCCTCACAAACCATACCAGTGCCGGTTGAAAGAAACAAGCTGTCACTCTGGTGAACATAGGGGCAGTATAGGACCAGTGAGGCTTTTCCCTTCCCCCCCAAAAAAAGTACTTTGCTTTTATTTTGTATACATTTCACATGTATTTATATGTGTGTATGTGGTATCCTCCTCCAGAATGTAAGTTTGAGGCCAGGGACAATTTGGTGTAGGTCCTCAGTACCTCCTGGCACATAGTAGGCATTAATAAATGTTTGTTGATTTGGTGAAGAAAACATTTAACTATGTTCAGCATCCTCTGCTCAAGGAGCCAGGAAAACATATGACAGGTTTTTTAAAGATGTCCATTCCCATTACCACAATTCTGTAAAGGAAAACATGGAAAAACTTCTTAATTCTGATCAATGCAGTGACCCATTGAGTCTTCCAAAGATAGACAAGCATGATTCCCATTTCTCAGTAAACAGGTGGCAGGCTATAGGTGTGGGATGAGACATACATTTTCAGATGTGGGAAATATGTTGATATGTTTTTTCTGAATACTCCTAGGCTAGCTACATGAGGTAGCAAAGTGAGTTGAGCACTGAACTTGGAGTTACGAAAACCTGAGATCAAAACCAGCCTCAGACACTTGCTAACTGTGTGAGCCTGGGTAAGTCACTTAACCTCAGTATGCCTCAGTTTCTTCATCTATAAAATGGGGATAATAATAGCACCTGCCTCCCAAGGTTGTTGTGAGGATAAAATAGATATTTGTAAAATGTTTTATAAACCTTAAAGCACTATAAAATTGTTAGCAAGCTATAAGTTTCAAAGGAGGACTATTTTTTTCCAGGGAGGGGTTGTTATTGAGAAATGATATAAAAAGAAAAATTATCAGTAAAACATCAAAAACATATGGTAACATCTAACTTGACCTAAAAAATGCTCAACCTTACTTACTTATAATAAGAAACATTCTGTGGGGAGTCATTAGGAAATGACAGTGATACTTCAAAAGGTTCAATAAAACATTTTTAAATGTCCATCTAAATGGATAAAACTAAAACATTCTGGAGGATTCATTTTTGTGGTATACCTCTCTCCCCCACTGATGCCAGATAAATGCAGTCTTACTATACGCAAGTATATTATACTTCTATTTATACATTTCAATATCATGCTATGAAAACCATTAGTCTCAATACACAGAAAACCATGTTCGGCTCTTCCCTCACCATAGCCATTTTTTCCACTGTGTTACTTCCTAACTAACCATTCCCCCAAAGAAACACAAAATTATTATTTTTTTTTGCAAGGAACCATAGCAATTGTTTATTGTCTCTAAAGCAGCTAAGTATTATCTTTCTATCTTTTACATTTCATGAAAGAAGCCACTTTTCAAATGCTGTTTCTAATTCCCCTAGCATTTGGAGCACCGCAAGCATATCTTATGATGAAGAGCATGTTTATTCACAAGTGTTTGACATTTTTTCAAAGGCCCTCCTGAAATTTGCTCACTTACCCAGATATTAGGTGAATGCCAGCATCTATAGCTTCTGATGAATTAGTGATTGCAAACAATCTGTCAAAGGTTTCTTGAAACCATTGCTTCTGCAGGTGAATTGGTGTATCTATCATTATGACATAAGAAAAAAAGGGAAACAGATGGAGAAAATACAGTTTTTAAAAAAAGACTTCAGACCAGCTCCTCCCTGAGGATCAGAAAATAAATTCAGAAACATTTTCTTTGATCATATCACTCCCCTGTTTAAGAAGCTTCAATGGTTCACTGTTACTTCTAGGTTGAATTATAAATTCTGTCTGGCATTTAAAGCCCCTAAAAATATGACATCATCTTGCATATATGTTAGGTGAATTGGGCATGCCCAGACAAGCCTGGGTTACTCTAGAATAGACTATGGACAGAGTGCTAAAGTCAGTAATGAAAGAAGTGAGGATTGCATGTTGACAGGACATAGGATTCCCACCCCCCATTTCAGAAAAGCAAGGCCTCCCCTCACACTTCACAGAAATTGGCCCTTGGACCACTGTCTTTACCGTCATGTCTTTCCTCCCCTTGTTTGCCAGAGCCACAACTGTCCAAGCCAGGGGTGCGGAACCTGCGGCCTTGACGCCCCACCCCTGGTCCAGGCCTAAAACTGTAGTGTCATAACTGAGCAAGGAGAGGTCAAGAAAGAACAATGGCTCAGGCTGATTCCTTTCCTGAGCCACCTGTCAACTGTAGATGCTTCATGCTCTCTGCTGCCTTGCTATTTCATGGGGTTTTGTTCTTGCAAACTATTCACCCCCCACTAGGCTTTGGACTTGTTCTTGGGTTCTGTTCACAATCTGTCCTTCTGGATGAATTGTTTCTGCAGATTTGTGACCTTGGGTTTTCCATCTTAGATTTCTGTTTGAAACAGGTCCTTCTTTTTTCTTCCCCAATCCAGACAAAATGAATGAACAGAAAGGGAAACAAATATTGATTAAGTGCCTTCTGTGTGCTAAGTGGGGGAGGGGGCTCTGTACAGGAGGGAGTAGGTGTAATATGTCCTGAGTGAAGACGAGATACAAGAGGAGTGGTTTACTTCCTCCCAAGCATGCTCTCAGATGGTCTGTTTGTTAAGAGCTGCTAATCTCTGGCACCTCATGCCCCCACCACCAATGCCACAGTCACCATTATCATGGCAGCCGTGGGCAGAGAACCAAGAAAGGCCTACCCATCTTTATCAGCAGAATTCTAGTCTAACAATGCTAACTGCAGTTTCACTCACCTGGATAAGCATGAGGAATAAGTATTCCAGCTGCTACATCGCTAGTGGTGTCAGGTGTAAATTTATCTGAAATAACATCGATGGAGCATTGTGGGATAGATTCAGAAATGCAGACAGCTGTGGAGAGCCCAACCACACCTGCACCAATAACGGCAACCCTGGTCATATCCATTGGCTCTGTGAAGGTGGGGGAAAGAGAATTCTAAAATACTGCTTGGAGACTTTCCGTTCTTCCAACAGAAACTGTGCTTCTGAAAAACTTTCATTAAGCATTGAATTAAGCACAACACAGTATAATAAAATGTGATACAACAAACACATACTAAGTGCCTACAGTTGCCTCTGACTGATGGACTCCCATTTGGATCATATAATTTTAAAACAACAACGTGTTAATTGTAGGATTTTGTCCAGTCATTTTTGTTTTTGTTTTGTTTTTTCAGTCACACCCAACTCTTTGTGACCCCATTTGGGGTTTTCTTGGCAAAGACACTAGAGTGGTTTGCTATTTCCTTCTTCAGCCCACTTTACAGATGAGGAAACTAAGGCAAACAGTGTTAAGTGACCTGCCAAGGATCACACAGCTAGTACGTGTCTGAGGCCAGACTTGAACTCATGAAGATGAGTCTTCCTGACTCTAGACTGGCACTCTCTCCACTGTGTCATCTAGGTATAGGATAGCTTCTATTAATCGTGGACCCATTTCTGATGGGATAGTTACAAGGAGAAAGGTGAGATAGGTGTAATGAAACTAGGATAGAATTCAGAGCTGGAATGGACACCAGGAAGGAAGGAAACAAGAATTTATTAAGCACCTACTATGTGCCAGGCACCTTACAAATATTATCTATTTGATCTTCCCAACAACACTGGGAGGTAGGTGCTATTACTATCCCTATTTTACAGTTGAGGAAACTGAGGCAGACAGAGATTAAGTGATTTGCCCAAGCACACAGCGAGTAAATGTTGGAGGCTGAATTTGAACTCAGATCTTCCTGAGTCCAGGCCAGAACTGTATTCACTGTACCACCCAGCTGCCTTAGAGATCTTCGAGTCCAATGCCTTCATTCAAACTCATCATACCCAAGGCCTCTTATACATGGAATTCCAACCCGAGGTACCAAAAAGACCATAGGTGGTCTGGAAACAAGAGCTCTAACAGGGTTGTATTGGAAGGACACACATCCCATGCCAAAAGTTTCTCTGCAAGATTAAAATGAATCTGGTGGTGATGACACACATACTTGAAAATCCATATTGTCCTTGGGACACTTCCAAGACAGGAGTTAATTAGTTCATCAGTAGGCATGTGAGGGAACCTCTGGTATGCGCTCAGGTCCATAAGATAGACTTTCCCAGGTAATTTTGCAGCAATGTACTATTTAAGACCAGTACTGCAAAACTGTAAACTTTATGGTTACAACATGTTCTCATAATTACTCTTTGATTCCCATTTTACCATTGGTTGTGCCCATTCTTCCTTGTTTCCCCCAGCAAGCAGACCAGCCCTGAAGTCTATAATATGATTATTGAAGGGAGCCAGAAAATCTCACCTACCCCTCAAATTTCTTACCTGCAGTAAAATGAAAAGAACATTGGATTTGAGTTGATTAATCAACAAGCATCTATTAAACACTATGTGTCAGATATTGCGCTAAGTTCTAGGGATACAAAGACAAAAAAAGAAACAGTTCCTGACCTCGAGGAGCTTATATTCTAAAAGGGTTAACAATATATGCTTATATAGGTAAATAGAGAATACTAGAAGACGAATACAAGGTAGTTTGAGTGCTGACTTGGCCACTTCTTACCTATGTGACATGGGTTAAGTTACTATGGGGCAAATTACTATGGGGCAGTTAGGTATTGCAGTGGATAGAGAACAGGGCCTAGAGTCAGGAAAACCTGAGTTCAAATCCAACCTCAGACATTTGCTAGCTGTGTGACCCTGGGCAAGTCACTTAACCTTGTTTGCCTCAATTTCCTCATTTGTAAAATGACCTAGAGAAGAAAATGGCAAACCACTCCAGTATCCTTGCCAGGAAAACCCCAGATGGGATAACAAAGATAAGGACACAACTGAACAACAACTTTGCTTCTCATTTATAAAATGTAAAATAATGCTACCTCCCAGGGCTGTTTTAAGGAAAACACTTTGTAAATATTAAAGCCACCTAATTGTGAGCTGTTATTACTATTACTTGAAATTTCACTGTTAGAGGTCATTCCTTTGGGTTAAGGATTTGCCAAGAGGTCCCGAAGTCCTCTGATAATATTTTACTCTTCTGAGAACATTTGTAGTTAACCCTCTGAAGAGTATTTCTTCTGCAGATTGTTTGGGTGTGGATAGGATAACTACTCAAAAGGAAAGGGGACACAGAATAGTAAATTTTAATGAAGGCAGGAGGAGGGAAGAGGAAAGAACGCAATTTGAAAGGGAGTGGGGAGGGCTCTGCCCTAAACCAGGGACAGCATGGTCTAGTGGGAAGAACCGTTAGAGAACTTGGGTTTAAATCTAGCCTAAAACACTTACTACTTGCAGACACTTAAGGGACCTTGGGAAAATCACAGAACCTCTTTGAGTGTCAGTTTCCTCATCTGTAAAAATAAAGCCTTGGTTGGGGCAGCTAGGTGGCACAGTGGATAGAGCACCAGCCTTGGAGTCAGGAGGACCCGAGTTCAAATTTGACCTCAGACACATAACACTTACTAGCTGTGTGACTCTGGGCAAATCACTTAACCCCAATTGCCTCACCTCCCCGAAAGAAAAGGAAAACAAAAGACCTATGATAGGTACCGAGAGGAGGAAGAGGAAGGTCCAGACAAGAGGTAGGAAAGTAACAAAGACAAGTTTTACTCTTCACAATTTTTCTGTTGGGGGTCAGCCTTGATCAGCCTCATCATTCTTGGCTATAGAATATCTAGCCAGGGGTGGGGAACCTGCAACCTCAAGGTCATATGTAGCCCTCTAAGTCCTCAAGTGTGGTCCTTTGACTGAATCCAAACGTCACAGAACACATTCTCTTAATAAAAGGCCAGTCTAGCCTGTGTGGGCCTTGTGATGATGGGATAGAGAAACAGAGCAGCATCACTGTTGTCATGGAAAGAGCTATGTGGATTCAGAGTCCAAGGGCCTGAATTCAGATTGCAGCTCTTCCTCCTTGGTCAATTCACTTAACCTCTCTGGGCCTCAGTTTCTGCACATGTAAAACCAAGAGGTGGGACTAGATCAGGAGTTTGTAATCTTTTGGGGAGTCATGGACCCCTCTGGCAGACTAGTAAGGTTAAGCCCTCCTCAGTATAATGCTTTTAAATGCAGAAAATAAAATATATAGGATTAGAGAAAAATTGTAAGTCATCAAAATATTAAAAAAAAAAAAAACCAATTTCGTGGACAGCAGGTTAAAAACCCCTGGAGATGATCTCTAAGGAACTTTCCCTCTTGGATCCTGCCTTAAGAAACTGGTGAATGCTAATGGCATATTACATAATACTACTTAAAAGCAAAAGAGGAGCTGTGGGCACGAATTTTAGCAGCACTCACTTAAGACTCCCAGCTCACCAGCTTCCAGGCCACCTTTGAGGCACTCAGGACTCTGCAGAAACCTCTCACATTTAGACAATTACACCTGGTTAGTGAAGTGAAGGAGAAAATACCTGGACTGTACAGGTCTGGGGCTTCAGCCTGGGAATCCACCGAGCACTTGAAATCAAAACACTTGTTTTCCCAGAGGAAGAGGAGAAAGAGCCGAGTCAGCTAGGGCCAAAAGTAAAGCTGCTCCCCATTGGAGGCATTTGGACGACGCCCCCGCTGACTTCACTCCCCATTGGCCAGTGGGTCTTTTCGGCACTCGAACCTCTTGATCTCTCCCCCGCCCTAGGAACTGGGGTCCCCAGGAGGGAGCTTATACGTTAACGTTGGCAAAGCTGCCAGGAGATTTACAAAAACAGTTTTGCCCGCTTCCCTCCTTTCTCTCCACCTCCTCCCAGGTTTCATTTTAATACCTAGAATCCAGCTGTCTCCTGGACGTGCCTGAATTCTTCGGTGTCCCAGGGAGCCCAGGCTGGAAGCCAAAATTCCATTACTTTCCTTTGACCTTTCCTTGGCAGTCACCTCCCCACCACCCAAGTCCACTTTCTTGTTAGCCTCCAAGTCCAGCTGGCAAAGAGCGACTCCCAGGGTACAGCCTGTGGGACGTAGCTTTCTCTACCTGTGGACCCCCTTCCTTGTGAACAGGAGGATTGGTTATTTTTGTTATTTTAAATAGAGGACCAGGCGTTTGAGGTTATCAGCAGCCCTGGAAGCCCCGTATATGGACTACAGGCAACTCCTTTACAAAGAAAATCTCAGAATAGTCTAAATGATTGTGTTCAAAGTGCGACTTGAAGCATAGCAAGCTTTGTGTGAGAGAACATCTCACAGTTGGCCAGTCACATGATACCTGAAATTCCACCATTATTGCTCATCTGGGGAAAAGAGTTAATTAACAATTCGTTGTTGCCCAGCATTGTCCTACTCTTCGTTACCTCATTTGGAGTTTTCTTGGCAAAGATACTGAAGTGGTTTGCTATTTCCATCTGCTCGTTTTACAGATCAGGAAACTAAGGCAAACAGGGTTAAGTGACTTACTCCCAGTGACACAGCTAATAAGTGTCTGAGGTCAGATTTGAACGCATGACTACAGACCTGGCACACTATCTACTGTGCCACCTACCCACCCCTTAATTAACAATACTTTTCAAAATATATTCAACAATCATTTGTGGTTGAAATCTTATCAGCACTTTGTGCAACACACTGTGTTAAATGCATTAGGGATTCTTAACCTTTGTTATGGTCCCCTTTGGTGGGGAGTCTAGGACCCCTTCTCAGATTGTTTTTAAGTGAATGAAACAAAACTCATAGGATTACAAAAGAAACCAATGATAGTGCAATGGTTATCCAAAAAAAAATTTTCTTAAAGTTCATGGCCCCCAGGTTAAGAACCCCTTCAAAGGATAGAAAGACGTATAGGTATAGGAAATACAATCCCTGCCTTCATAGAGCTTATGGATCATCACAAGGTCTAAATTTAGAGCTGGAAGGAGTTCAGGGTCATCTAGCCCAACTCTCTCATTTTGCAAAGAAAGAAACTGAGATCCAGAGAGATTAAATGACCCTGTCAAGGTCATAGGGGTAATAAATTTGAGGTGGGATTCAAATCTAAATCTTGATTCCTAAATACAGATCTGGCCATGTCACTCCACTATTCAATTAATCCCAGTAGCTTGCTACTACCTCCAATATCAAATAAAAATCCTCTGCATCGAATTCAAAGCCCTTCATTACCTGCTTCCCCTGCCCTACATTTTCAGTTTTCTTACATCTTACTACCCTTCCAACACACTCTGGGAAGCAGTGACTGAGCATTTCCATTGGCTACCTCCTGTGCCTGGAATTGTCTCTCTCCTCTGCCTCCTGGCTTCCCCACCTTCCCAGCAAGTTTCAGTTAAAATCCTAGCTTCTGCAAGAAGCCTGCCCTTATCTCCCAAATGCTAATTTCTTCCTTTTGTTGACTGTCTGCAATTTATCCTGTGTACATGGCTTACACAGACTTGTTTTCATTTCACCTCCTTTAGACTCTGAACTCCTTGAGATCAGAGGCCATTTTTTTGCCCTTTTTTCTATTCCCAGTCTTTGACACAGAGTAGCTGTTTAATAAATTTTTGTTGACTAATTGCTTTTCTCTTGAGGTAACCTTCTATTAAAAGCTCACTTTTACATAGAACTTTACAGTTTGCAAGGGAGGCTTTATACATATGATCTCATTAGATGCTCAGAATAATTCTAGGAAGTAGGTGTTATTATTATCTGCATTTTACAGATAAAAAAACTTATTCAAAAAGTTAAGTGATCTGCTGAGGGTCACATAGCTAATAAGTTTAAGGTAGGATTCAAATCCAAATCTTGATTCCATGTACAATACTCTATCCAGGAGACTTTGATTGATTTTTTATATACTTTGTATTTATTACTTGTATATTTGTTGTGCCTACCAGGTACAAAAGAATATAAGCTTTTTGAAGGCAGAGACAATGTCATTTTCATCCAAATATTCCCAGTACCAAGTGTCTTGCCCATAATAGAAACTAAGTATTTGTTAAATTGATTTTTTCAAATGGAGATGGGAAGTTAGACTATCTGAGCTAAGGCTCTAAGTAAGCAATTCCTCAAAGAAGCAATGTTTGGGGAACAGTGAAACTGGCTAGGGAGGGAGGAGAAAAGGACTTTAAGGAATAGTAAGAAGTAGGTCAGAAAAAATCAATTGGGGCCAGTGTGTAAAGGATTGAGCAGGAATTAGGTAACATGCTGTGTGTAGTATAGTTCCTGGTGAATTGACCAAAAAGAAGAAAGACTAGAGAGAGGCTCAAGGCTTGAGACGATAAAGGATAGAACTTGTGGTGTGGAATAGGAATGAAAGAAAAAACGATGAATAGAGAAGATATTTCAGGGGAGGAAATGATAGACTTTAGCCACTGATGGAATATTCTCAAAGACTTCACAATCCTGTTGCAACTGATTTATCAAAACAAGATAGAATTTGTAACTATAAAACATATTAAGATTAGAACTTCATAAGTTAAAATACAAAAAAGTAAGCATAACCACATTGGTCAGAGCAATGCCCAAAAAGGCCCTGTCTTTGACAGTGTCAACAATGGACCCTTTGAAGGAAAATGTTTCTAACCTCCCTAATATTAACCTCAAAAATTAGACATATTCCTCTCCCAAAAAAACTCCTGGTGTCATTTAATGGTTATTATGGATCTGTCATCCACAAATTTATCTAAGCCTTTAAAAATCTATTCATATATTCAGCCTCTACCAGCTCTTGGATTAATGAGCTCTAAAATTTTACAACCCACAGTATGAAGCTGTGCTTGTTCTTATTTGACCTAAATTTCCCTTTGTTGGGTTTTCAAGGGCACAAGAGTTAGTGTTTGGGGGGTTTATGATCCAGGATTTGACACAAACCCATGTTTATTTTCTCTACATTGCTCATTGTTTTATAGAATTAGATTTCATGACTTTCATGTGAAAGGTGTCAATAATTTTAGTCTACAACTTCTCCCCTGCATCCTCCTCTAATTACAGTAAAATCTGGAATTCCTGGGATTGACCTGATCCCAAAGCCCCGAATATAAAGGTTCAGGAGTGGTATAGTTGCCTATCCTAGTGTGGAAGCCTATTATCTTGGGTCCAGGACACATCAAGAGAGGGTATATTTTCCTATAGATAGCTGACTAGCTAAGTAGTCCTAATCCCCAGACTTTCCAGCCTTATGTATATTCATACTATATTATTCCAGTTATGATTACCTTTTTTAAAATAAAATTAATTTTTGTTACATTTTAAGTTCCAAATTGTCTCCCTTCCTCCCTCCCAACCCCACATTAGAAAAGGCCACCTAGATAGATACATTGATAGATAGATAGATATAGATATAGAGATGTATCTCTGTGTGTATATATGTGTATGTGTAAAACCATACTTCTCTTTATCAGTTCTGTGGAGGTGGATAGCATCTTCCTTTATAGATCCTTTGTAGTTGATTTGGTTATTTATAATACTCAGAATAACTTAGTTGTTCACAATTGTTGTCCGAACAATATTGCTATTACTCTATACAATGTTCTCTTGGTTCTGCACATTTCACTCTTCATTATTTCATGCAAATCTTTCCACGTTTTTCTAAAAGCAATTTACTCATCATCTCTTACAGTATAGTACTATTCCATACAATCACATTCAAATAAACAAAGCACCCTCCACCTTTCCTTTAGACCATTATTTGTTAGGAAAATGGTATCATGGATTGAGCACTAGACTTGGAATCAGGAAGGCCTGGGTTTGAATCCTGCCTCAGACACTTTCTGCATGTATAAACCCAGGCAAGTCATTTAACCTCTGTGAGCCACGGTTTCCTCATGAAAAATGAGGGGAAAGGTGAATTTGCTGACTACTAAGGCCCCTGGTGATCTATGATCTTGGGAGTAAGTGCCTAGGGAGTGTGCATGTATGTCCCTGTCTGGTTCTTTACCCATATTTCAGCATCACAAGAGAGCAAGGGTGAAAACAGAAATTAACAATTAAAAGCTCTTGACTCAGAATCTCTTGGTCATTTTAGGTACCTCTCTCCCAACCTTCTCTACTTTTAATCTACCCCTCTTGAAGGGCAAGGACCAGAACTGTGTATAAGATTCTCTGTAAGGAAGTACCATAGAGTTGGACAAGACTACAATCATGCTTTGCCTCTAATTCCCTCACTGAAGACAAAAATGCCAAGATTTTTCTTGACCCATTTTTGTCCACAGCAGCATATTTGGCCAGTGTTTTCAGAGGACAATTTACAATGACTCCCAGATCCTTTTCCTGGATTATAAGTAGGAGCTCAGAGTTCATCATCATGTAAATCTAGTTGGTATTCTTTTCCCCAAAATGTACTTGGTCATGCCAAGTCATCTCCATTTCTCTCCTCAGTTATGAAGAGAAACTCACCTGGGAACATCCCCTCTGACATCATGAAGTATAACTGGGATGAGTCGAACAAATTTCTTGACAATTTACAGCATAAAAGAGGAAGGGGAGAGGTCAGGTATTTCCAGAAATAATTGTGATTTGTTTATTTATTTATTTTGTTCATGATAATCTTTTTTTAAAATTTTTTAAACATTTTTTTTTA